CCCCGACATTCTGTGATTCTGTGTGATTCTCCCCTCTCTCAACTCTTCATCAGGTTTACTGAGCTAAAACTGTTTCCAGCATTTGGTCACATTCCTTTATCTCCAGAATACCTTTGAGTTAGTGTTTGCATCTTCTTAGCCTGAAATTCTTAAAAACCAAGTTATGAAATTGTAGAAATCCTTCCTAAAAAGTCAGTTCTCATTCTTTTTCTCTTCCCCTCCCTCAGATGAAAAAACGAGGCTTAACTCCCACCGAGGCCACTTACACAGCCCTGTTCAATGCCTGTGCCCAATCGCCGTGGAAAGACTCCGGCCTGCAGAGTGCCCTCAAGTTACGTCAGCAGCTGAAGAGCAAAAATGAAGAGCTGAACCTGATCACCTACCATGCACTGCTGAAGGTCTGCGCCCTGTGCTCCGATCTCAGGATGTGCTTTGATGTCCTGAAGGTAAAGATGTCACTTTTCTCCTATTAAGTGTAGTCTGCTCTGGTTAAAGCTCCTGGAAGTTGCCATATTGCTTAGAGATTTCCATTTCATTTCCAGCAGTGGTGATTACAGATCATGTGTTTATATTTCATTGATCCTCAGTCTCATACAACAAAATCATCTTGGTCCACACCAAATGTTAAGTTGAAGTACATCAAAAGAGGCAGCTACAGCCTTGAACAGAAGTTGGCTTTAAAACTCTGGTCAGGGGTGTTTTGTGGGGTTCAGAGCTACTGTGTTTGTCTCCATCCTTCATTTTAAAGGCCAAGATACTGATACCTCGTTCCTTTTAAAGCTCTTACAGCAGCTTTTCTCAGAGAGGACAGTGTGGGAATAGCTAAAAGGATTGCTGTCTCTGCCCTCAAATCCCCTGTAGCTCCCATCAGGGAGAAACCAGGATCTATACAGGTGTTTTGAGGCTCTTCTCCTCCTGAAGCTATCGTTCTGCTTGCAGCACTGGGAGTTCACCCAGAATCACTAAGGTTGGAAAAGATCTCTCAGATCATCCAGTCCAACCATCAACTCATCACCACCATGCCCACTAAACCCTGGGCCCGAGTGCTGCATCTACATGTTTCTTGAACATCTCCAGGGATGGTGCCTCCACCACTTCCCTGGGCAGCCTGTCCCAAGGCTCTTTGGGAGAAGACATTTTCACCCTGTCCTTTGTTGCTGCCATGTCCCCAGAAGACAACAGCGGTATTTGAGCTTCACAGCCAGCAGCGACAGCTTGTTTGGGTAACTAACTGGGAAGTTTAATGCTGTCTCTGTTCTCTTAGGAAATTGTGCACAAGGGCCACGTTCTTACAGCCGAGACCTTCAGCTTCCTTCTCATGAGCTGCATAAAGGACAGCGAGAACGGCTTCCGATACGCCTTGCAGGTTTGTCTTTATATACTCCACGGGAGGGAAAAATGCTTCTGTTGTGCTGTAACTCGTCACCTGAACGCACAGAAGGCAGTGGGTGGCTCAGAGCTGATGAAATAGGAGGAGTTCAGCTTCTCCTAGGAGATGTTCTGGAAACTAGACTTCCATCAGGATGTCTCGTACAGGGATAAAGCGCCTGGATGATCTGGCAGGACTGTGGTACCTCAGGGTGGCTGTTCACTCTCCAGTGGCATCTCACCTTGTCGTGCTGTAAACTCACTTTTCTTTCCTGCAAGTACAGACTTGAACAGTGGGCACAGCAGATACACTCACACCCTGCTGGAAATGCTCCTGTTATTTAATATCACCTGTGTCTGGTGTCCATCTTCCCCTCTTCAGGTCTGGAAACAAATGACTAAACTAGGAATAAAGGCCGACAGCCACACGTACAATTTGATGCTGCGTGCTGCCAGGGACTGTGGAATAGGGGATCCGGTCGTGGCTTCTCAACTCCTGCTCAGACCCACCCATGAGAACCCATCTGAGCTAAGGCTTCCACCTGGGAGGCTGAAGGAAAAGGTGACAAGTCAGAGGAAGAAGGGATCAGAGAGTGCAGCTGCTGCCCAGTTGGATGTGGAAGCTATGGAGCAGCAGTTATTTCAGGATTGTTTGGTGCAGCCTGAAGCACCGCTCCAGGAACAAAATAAAACTGTGAATCAGGCTGAAACAAAACCAGCTGCTCTCACCAGCCTCAGCATCGCTCACAGCAGGACTGGAACCTTGGTGAGGAGAAGCCAGAAGGAGATGGAGCAGGAACAAGCATGTCTAAGCCAGAAATCACATTTCTGCAACCTACCCAACTTGCTGGATTCCAGGATGCCTGACGCAGCCATGGTTTCCTTGGGGACAGTGGCCACAGCATCCCACAGGCTGGCTTTGATGGGGGATGTGGAAGGTTTCCTGAATAAAATGAAAGAGGACAATGCAGAACCCAACATTAAAACATTTACGTTACTGGCTGAACTGGTGGAACCCCAAAGCCCCTCCGAGTCCTCTTTGCTGGCACTTGTAGATGAGCATAAAGTGCAAGTAGATGTGACCTTCTTTAACACTTTAATAAGGAAGAAAAGTAAAAAGGGAGACCTGGAAGGAGCAAAGGTGAGAAAAACTGAGAACCAACCCTGTCCTCATCTCCTTGTCTCAGGCCTCCAGCGTTATCTGTGTTATCTGAGACCAGTTTATCCACAGTAGAAACTGGGAATCTCACCCTGGTTTGCACAAACCAGCGCTCAGGTTAATTTCTGAGTAGTTGTGGATTCTGTTTGAGTGCTTCAGCTCTGTCTGCAAAGCTGCAGTGAGACTCTTTGGAAACTGATGTCAACACTTGTGTCTTGCAGAACGTGCTGCCAGCCCTGGTGAAGAGGGGACTATCACCCAACCTCCAGACGTTTTGTAACTTGGCCATCGCTTGCCAGCGAGAGAAGGACGGCCTGCAGTTACTCTCAGATTTGAAGGTAATCAGCTCTGCTGCTTGCAGTTTGAGCTGCAGGAAGAAGCAAACAGAAGCTTTAATGATTCTAAAAAGATCTGCTGAGGTTTCTGTGGTGAGTGCTGTTGTGTTCTCACTCCAAAAACACGCTGCAGCTCCAGAGCAGGCACCAGCTCAGTCCTATTCCTGTGCTGGGATAGGTGAGGGCTCATGGGAAGGGGGGTGGTGCTGGCACTACAGGAACTGCTACACAGGTTCAAAGAGCTACACAAAGAGCAAGAGCTTTACTCCTTGTGTAAGAAGTACCTGTGTATCTTCTCCTTCTCCAAGTCCTGAGCTCGTTGGCAGAGAAAGAGGGGAGGTTTAGATTAGATATTAGGAAGAAGTTTTTCACTGTGAGGGTGGTCAGACACTGGAACAGGTTGCCCAAGGAAGCTGTGGCTGCTCCTCCCTGGAAGTGTTCAAGGCCAGGTTGGATGAGGCTTTGAGCAACCTGGTCTAGTGGAAGGTGTCCCTGCTGATGGCAGGGGGGTTGGGACTGGATGAGCTTTAAGGTCCCTTCTAACCCAAACCATTTGATGATTCGATGAGAAACAAGTTTAACTGTAATGTTGGTTGTTTGCAGAGGTCTGTCTGAGTTTAACTGTAGTGTTGGTTGTTTGCAGAGGTCTGGTGTGACTCCCAACAAGTACATCTACAGCACCCTCATTGCTGCAGCTGTGAGGCAGCTGGATTACAGGTACCTTACGGAGATCCTGCGGGACATGAGGAATAACCAGGTGCCTCCCAATGAAGTCATCATACGCCAGCTGGAGTTTGCAGCACAGTACCCTCCAAAATTTGACAGGGTAAGTAGCAGTGACTGGTCAGAGCATGAAGGCAGCACAAAGGACACCAACAAGGGAGGAGAAAGTAGATTTGTGCCCAAGTCTTCTTTGGGTTTGTCTGATTGCGCTGACAGTTACTTGTTCTTTAGTAGCAGCTTGTTGCTCTTGCATGCTGGCACTGAAGTGAGCTCTCTTCTCATAAAAAACCTTGTTTTGTTGGATTTCTATTTGCAGTACAAGTCAAAGAACCCATACCTGGAGAAAATTGATGGTTTCCGTGGCTACTACTATCGGTGGTTAAAAGTAATGGCAGGAGAGGAGACCCCCCATCCCTGGGAAAAATACAGACCAGCGAAGCGTGGGGTGGATGACAATAAGGAAGAGGCTGCGCAGGAGCAGCCAGGACAGAAGTAGCTGTGAGCAGGACACCAAAGTCCTGCACCTTCCTTGTGCTGGAAGAACTTGGAACTTACTCCTTTGAACTGTCTTGTAGTAAAGCTGCTTGGTATTTCCATGAACCCAAGTTCTTGTGGTAACTGCATAATAAAAGTATTTTAAGGAGAAGCAAATACATTTTCAGTTAATTTTCTTAAAACTGCAGAGGATTAGAGAGATTGTAGTTGTACAAACCCTGTGCTGAACAAGGGAGAAGCAAATTCAGATTGAACAGTGGTTTAGCTCAGTGCTAGAGTTGTGTTTGTTCCCTGTAAGTCTCTGCAGCCTGCTGCCTTTCTTAGATCTACACACTAATTCCAGGTTACAGAGAGATCCAGTGAAATTCAGCTTCCTTCTACACAAGATCAGAGGAGAGCTTAAATCAGACTGGAGTTTTGAGAACTGGATTATTTCCTTTCCACACAGCTTTTTAAATTCAGTTAGTTGAGAAAGAAGGATAAGAGCTAGTTAAAAAACAACCCAAATTTAGAATACCTGACAGTAAACAGAGCAACCTTCAAACCAACCAACCCAAACACATCCAGTAGGAGAAGAGGGGCACAGGAATGTTTTGCCAGAAGATTGCACCACTCTCAGAAGAGGAGGTCAGACTTTATTGTAAAATAAATGGCTACATCAAACCTACTCCAAAACAACCACCATTGTATAAATGATCCAGGTGAGTATGTTGCTGGTTTAACTGCGATACAGAAGCATCCAAATCACACAGAAGGTGGCTGTAACTGCACTGGATAGTCCATTGCGTAGGATGATACCCCTCAGAGTTCAGAAAGTGTTCTGATGGCTGAAGGCTTCACCCCGAACAGCCTCTGCATCCGCAGTGAGTGCATTCAATGATTCTCCCCTGGAAAAGAAACACGAGGGGGGAATTCCATCTGAGCAGCCAGCCAGCAGGCTCAGGCCTCCAGGCTGAGAACACATCAGGGTGGGAAGGGTTTCTACCATCTCGTTTGCTGTTGTTTCTCATACTTAAATGATTTTAAACAACCACATGCCCAAGCTAACAGGAACTTGAGAACTAGAGAGCAACTCCACCAACAAAAATAGAGAATAAAACTAGAGGAAATTACCCAAGGGAACAGCACTACCCCCTCTGCTGCCTCTGATCTGGGAGGAGTTGGAGCAGCTATGCAGAGGAACAAGCTGAAAACCCTTACCACTTCCAGCTTGCTTTTGGGGACCCTGCAGATGCAGTTGGTTCCGAAGTTGGTGTCCCTTGTCTGGATACACCGCAGGCAGCAAAGGTTCTCGTAACCCTGTTTCTTCCACTTTGCAATCAGGTTTTTGTCAGCGTACCCTTCCTTGATGCAGTATTCATAGAGCTCTGTAGAGGAGCAGACACCATCACAAGTAGCTCCCAGGAAGTGTTAGGAGATTCACCCTCAGGAATTACTAGCTGTAGTAACCAGCAGTTAAAGCCAGGCAGCTGCCAGCCTTCCCTCCATCTTCCCCCTCCCCAGAAACCAGATCCTTCCCCCCAACACCCCAGTTCAGGTGTGTCCACAGGCAGACACCTGACTCTGCTCAGGGTAAAGCATTTTGTGTTCCTCACCTCTGCTGATGGCTTTTCTTTTATAGAAGAGATCAAAGATGTAACGTGTTTTCTGGTGATGAATTCGGAAGATAGGCCAAAGGGATTCCACTTTCCTCTTCCCCTCGTGAGGCTCAGTCTCCGCTGGGAGGGAACACAAACACCAGCTTTCAGCTGACCAACTCACTTTGCAATAAACCATTCCAAGAATGTTCATAACTTTAATAAACTACAGAGATATGGCTGAGCGTGATGGGAGAAGATTCAAACAAAAAGGACCTGACCTCAAACAGCTCCTTTGGGAAATGAAAATAGAAAAAGCAAGACAGGGGGGATGACGTGACCCACACTGGGGTGGCAGGTGACTTCATGGCTGCCCCAGCTCGTCAGACCAGAGCAACAGCACGGACGAGAACTGCCAGTCCCTCCACACACATGAGTGAGCTTCAGCCAGGGCTTGGCTCTGGAGTGCCCCAAACTGGACACCAACCTCTGTGTGCTGTGACCTGGGCACACCCAGGGAAAAGCAACCAGTACTGGCCCAGTCTGTCTCCAGTATCACTGTGGGGCAGGGATATTAAAAAGTCAACCTATTTGCAGGGGAAGCAGTGAAGGATCAGCTTGTTTGAGGGACACATCCCTGCCAGCACCCAGCTCTGCTTCTTACCTTCTCTCATCTTCTGATCCAGCTCATCCAGCGTTGGCTCAATCAGCTCCCAGCCATCCGGGGGAGGCTTCCTGCTCCTCTTCACTTTGGGCATGGCCTCGGAAAGCTGAGGGCAGAGGGTTTGCGTTCACTCAAACGTGCGGGGGCTTCGGGCTGCTGAGAACCTCTGGAGAACGGGAAACAGCCGTTAGTGTCGCTGCTCCCGAGATTTCCGGGCTCCTTCGCTGCTTTCCGTTGCGATAATAAAAAGGAGCTTGGTGGAGCCGGTGAAGGAGTCACAGCCCGGCCCGTGCGGCCCGTGGGGCGAGCGCCGCTCCCGCCTCC